TAACCCTACACCTAACCACAACCACCTAACCCATGTCCCTAACCCTACACCTAACCACAACCACCTAACCCTGCACCTAACCACGACCACCTAACCCTATCTGATGGCTTTTGCCACAAGGGGCCCTGCTTCCCTCCAGAGCACCCTGGGGCTTCTGCTAAGTTTTGCTTTGCCCTGCAAGGGGCCCTGCTGCCTTTCAGAGTGTCCCAGGGCTTTTGCCAAGCTTTGCCAGGCCCATAAGGGGCCCAGCTTCCCTGTGGAGGACCACAGGGCTTTTGTTGGGCTTTGCTGATGCCCAGGCAGGTCTCTGCTGCCTTCCAGAGCATCTGACAGCTTTTTCTGGGCTTTGCTGGTGCCCACAAGTGCATGGGAAGGGGAGGGCCACCAACAGCTCTAAGTGCTGGCCACTTCCTCATGAAAGCAGTTTTGCAGCTGGGTCCTGGCTAGGGCAGGGTGTAGGTGAGCAGGAGCCTTCAAACTGAAGCCAACAGGAATCTTTCCAATGATTTAAAAGGAGTGTTGGATGGGATCCTACAGAAAACTGCCACAACTTTGAGCTGACAATTCTGTTTTGACTACTGCCTGTCACTTGCAGCCCTGCAGATACTGCACTCTAGCTGCTGCTGGAATTCACCAGGTGCTGTTCCTACATGTCTGTCTTGGAATAACTGCTTTTGCTCACATCCAGAACATCCTCCAGCCTTTTTGAAGCCTTTCTGTGGATCATATGCCTCATATCCTAAACCATTAACAGTTCAGGCTCATTTTTGAATTGATATGCTATAGTAGGTGAAAATCTCCAGCCCTATCTATTCCTCTCTTCTCTGCTTAGTGACTCCTTTGCATCCTCCTTTCCTTCTTTTCACACTGGTAAGGGGCAAATTTCCTTCAAAAAGGAATTCTTTCCTTTTTAGAGAATCCTTTTAACACTTGCCTTGTACCCTGGCTGCTAATACACTCCCACATTGTGCCACAATCTTGCCAGCCTTTCCTCTTTGTTAACAACTGCATGTATAAATTCCCAGTCACAGAGAGGATGTTTCCAAGAAAGCAATAAATTAATAAATTTCTCTGCTCTGAAATCAGCTCCAGGGCAGAAGACATACTCTTCACCTTCCTCCTGTCCATGTCAGTTGAACAGAGATCCACTCAGTAGAAGTCTCTTTTGTCCAGACATTGAGGAATCTGTTGCCAACAGTTATCTTGGAACCTCCCCATCAAGCTTTGCTGCGGGCAGAACTTCCAGAAAAAAATATTTATATGACTAAATGAGAATTGCAGGTCATGATGCCATGGCAGACACCTCGCTTCAACCCATTCACTAAATCACAGTCTAACCCTACAGGGTCAGTACCTGCTTTCCTCACCCACACAGCTCCTGGTGGGTTTTCATCTCCCCAAGTTACTTGGCACAAAATGACACACAGTTACTGCATTTGACATCTGTATTCTGAATTCTAGCCCACAGATATTTTTCTTTCTCCAAAGCATTTTTGTGTCATTACATCTGAAGCACAATCTCCATTGTGAAAGAAGGAAGTCTTGGCTTTAAAATGTGATTGTAAAATAGGACTTACAACATCTCAAAAAAGCCAGCTCAACTCCCATCTACAAACATGGTAATTTTTAAGTCTTCCAACACTGGGAAGCACAGTAAGTAATTTTTGAGTGGGCTGGCAAGGCTGAAAACTGTCTTAATTGTAGTTTCTCCTGGAAAAGTCTATTATACATATATCTTTCCCTACTCCCAATTCCAGTCATCTCTATTGCTTTTGGGAGATAAAGGGAACAAAGGAATAATCTAAAAGTCTTTTTCACTGAAAATCAAAAAATGCCAACACTTTCATACAGAAAGCAGAAGTTCAGTACAAAGTGCCAGCTCAGAGCAGGCCATAGGCACATTCTGTTTGTGTCCAACACTGGCTTCCTAGTGATGAGACCTGTCCCTCCAATATAAAAAATGGAATGTTATTATTTTAGGGATAATCTCTTTGAAGCACCTTGGTGGTCAGTTCCTATCAGGGCTGCTTTCTAATAGAGTGGGCATGGCAGCTGTGGAACAGTCTGCAGGGAAAGATCGGCCATGGCAAATCTCTGGAACAGTGTGCAATACACCTGGCGTGGGGAGAAGGACTTGTGTCCTTCCTGAGAACAGGCACTCTGCCAAAGCCATAACCAGGACCCCTTCCAGGAGCTTGGGGTCACTTGCTTTTGAACAGAATGGGAGCTGCAGCCATCCATATTCCCAGAGGCTTGCTCCTTTCACCACCACCAGGTGAGCTCTGGCATTGAAGACCACTGAGCCACATACCTACACTTGCATTCAATCCTCCTTTCAAGAGGCTCCACTGGCACATGCCAGGATACACCTAAAGAGTTATAGAAATAACTAAATTATAGCAGAAAGATAATAAAAACAAAGGCAGGGATGGAGAGCAGGTTTATTACGTCTCAGGAAAATAAGGCAACCCCCTCCCTTTATTTTTTTTGCTAGTAAATTGAGCATCAGAACCAAAGCCATGAATCATTTATCTGCAAATACCCCCAGTGCCTGAGAATACTGTCAGACTCCTCACTTGCTGTGTGCTGGCACTGGGACATACAAAGGTGTCCTGCAAATGCTGCCCTGTTGAAAAGTTTCCCAGCACCAGCAGGTTATGCCAATCTGCTAGAGAAGGATACAGCAAAAATTTTCTGCTGTGTGGGAAGGAACCACTTCTCATTCCAACTCTGCGGCTTGTGTCGGCTGGCAAGGACAAAGAGACAATTAGTTACAAAGAAAGTATAATGTAACTCCATCACTCCAGAGACAGGGCCTCAAGTGGCTCCTTCCCAGAGAAGATGGACTTCAGAAAAATTGTTGCCAGTGGAAGTAGCCTGAATAACAGACTTTAGGAAGTATTTGGCACTTAGGAGTTCAAGGCAGGAAAAAATAAGGAAAGCCATCTTTTGGCCAAGGAACGGTACAGATGTTCAGTTTATTCTTCTGTAGACACTTTTCATTTTCTCTTGTGCACAAGGGGCACAGGAGCAAAATGCATCTGCAAGTTATTATGGGCTGCATGCAATACAAAACTGTCAGGGGAAGCCCTCAAATGTTAGTATTTTTCCTCTCCAATGGTTTTTAAGAGCTGAAAAGTTTTGGGGAACAGATGTTTTTGTAGTGTCTGTATTTTCTCACCTCTGCTTTTGATAGTGTGCATTGCCTGGGCTTGCACAGCAATTTTATCCTCAGGCCAGCAAAAGAGGGTTGGGGTGCACAATATTTGCAAGGCTTTTGCCCCATTTTCTTTTAAAGATGGTTCTTAGAAAAATGTCATCTCTTCCTCAGCAACCACTTCTCATTTTTTGTCAACAATGAATAGTCCAACAGTGGATCAGTTTGACCTTCCTTTCTTGGAAATCATTCAACCTGTACAGCAAAGTTTGTTTTGCATAAAACAGTTCCAGCCATGTGCACCCATTTGTACACCCCTTGCGCTTGTGTTGCTAATAAAGGTTTATATTTGGCGTTGCTAATAAAGGTTTATATTTGGCATGGACAGACAGCACTCAGTTGTTCTGTTATGAGTGTAAGCCATCCTGTTTCCCTGCCAGGCCCTATTTGCCAGAAGCAAAGGTGATGATTCCTGCTGGGATGGGTGGCTGCACATCTCAGTGTCACAAGAGCTGACAATTTGTTGAGGTTACAGTCTAGGTCTGACAAGCTTCACGACAAACTCCTTGCTTTAGCCCATGAGTAGATGGTCCCTGTGGTATCAGCTCTGCACAGCTCACAGACTCCAGCCTTGCTGCTCTCAACACCACTGTTAATAAGCTTTATTATTACTTGAAAGGTCCTGCCTGAAGAGCTCAGTTTTACACAAGCACTTAGTAGGACAGGGGAACATTTAAAAATGCTTCTCAGCAAGGCCATTAAAATGGAAAGAAACTTCCATTGCAGTTAGAGAGCCAGAAGATACAGTGGCCTGAGAAGCAAGCTGGCAGGTACAGAGCAGGTCACACCATTTCACTGCTCCATGCTCCAACTTCCACTGCCACCAAATACAGAGGACAGCACTGTCCTCTGAAAAGCTTATATAAATATACAGAGGGAAACTGCAAAGAACAGCTAAGGCTTATTATGTAAAGATCCTGCCCTTATACCACACAGGACTGCTTCAGCAACAGTCACTTTCACCCAAGGGCAAGACACTCCTTTTCCCTATACAAAGCACTTTCTCCCAGTTAGGGCTGCCCTTGGATATTTTGCAGAATAAAGCACAGCACGTTTTCAACTGCCTGCAGGATCTTTAAATGCTGCCACTTGCTCCAGATCACTGAATTGTGTTTGCTGTGACCCAGGCTGCTGTAAGGGCAAAGAGACAGCTCCATCCATCACACATGTCCCATAAAACAGCACACAAGTGAGAGGGGGTAATCTATGCAAGCCAGCAGGTAGGCCTGCTGCCCCTTTCCTAACAAGTTGAGTTAGGCAAGAGACAAG